ACATTTTTATTGAAGTTGAAATTTTGCCACCATCATAGGTTGTACAAAAAATGAGTGTATCCAATTCTTTCACCCCTCTCGCTTCACAAATTCAGGATCGTCCTCACAAAAGGAAACAACCATGCAATTCACCAGTTGATTCGGGTGGATCACTAGAGTCTGCGATCAATAGTCTCACGTCGGATGATAGCCTCCCCTCCCATGTCAAAGTTATACTCGCACATCTACTACAGAAGAGTACGGAAAGCGATGATTTACTGCAACGCAACCATGAACTCGAAAATGAACTACGCCTTCAAAAATCGGAAAATGAGCGCCTGAAAAAAGAGATTGAATCACTGAAGAAGTCTTTAGATTCTACTAATGGCTCTCCTCCCCCCGTGTCGCCTAAAAATGTTCATTCAGTTTCTCAATTTAATTGTTGCGAAGAACTTGAAAGACTCAGATCTGTTGTTATTTCCGGTGTCATGGAATGTGTGGATCCCAGTCCTGTAGTTCGGTTATCTTCTGATACTGATTTTATAAAAAAAATACTGTTGTTTCTATCAATTGAGTGTTTTCCTCTCTCCTTCTATCGCATGGGCAGACCAAATCCTAATCGTCCGCGATTACTTAAGGTTGTTCTCCCTAATACCTTTTTTCAGCGACAAGTGATTTCTCGTGCTTCTATGTTAAAGTATTTTTCAATCAAAGGCATATATATCAGACCATCATTAACTAAAGGCGAACGTGATCACCTTCGTGACCTCAGAGCTGCAAGGCTCAAAACTTCCGTTAATCATTCCTCACCTATTGTTCAAGGTTCGATTAATGATTCTGGTGGTAATGTTTCTGTTCATATTTTCTTTTTTCTCCTGATTCCCCCTCTCATAAACAATCCTAACTGAAAACACTTGCTTTTAAGAGGAAAATCAATGATGTTATGGTGGTCAATGGAATTCATAACGGCCAAATTAAGGTTCCATGTAGCCACTTTTGCCAATTATTGCCACCTATAACTAGAAAAAGTCAATAAGATAAACTTCACTGCGGCTCGTTCCAGTCTTGGGCACCATTTATTTGTCAACCGCGCCGGGTCAGTATATAAACGCTTAATGAAAAAGGGCTTGCTCTCCACATTTACATTGTATCCATCGAAAATGCCAGATAGATTGAGCAGAACGAATCCCATCCGCGGTGGAATGTGAAATGCATGTGCAGTGCTGTCATCAATGCGTTAAGGCAATTCGTCCGTCCGTCAGCCAGGTGATGGTCGATGGCCGACGTCAGACTTTGCGAATCCAGCGATTCGCTAGCGAATCGCGGGATACGAGCGTTGCACCAGCGAATCGAGCTGTGTACCAGCGGATCGAACGATGTACCAGCGACTCGACACTGTTTGAAAGTGGCGGGACTCCCTTTGAACGTTGGCTCTCGCCACTTTCCCGGGCTCACGAGGGCATGAGGAATGAGAGGGAGTGCTCGGGAAAGTGGCGAGAGTCAACATGCAAACGAGAGGGAGTCCCGCCACTTTCAAACAGTGTTGAGTCGCTGGTACATCGTTCGATCCGCTGGTACATCGTTCGATCCGCTGGCACATAGTTCGATTCGCTGGTGCAACGTTCGATTCGCTGGTGCAACGCTCGTATCAGCGATTCGCTAGCGAATCGCTGAATTCGCAAAGTATGACATCGGCCGATGAGGAGGTTAGGAATATGACACAACCTTGGCTAATGTCTCAGTTTAGTACAGTTTTTTAAAGTTTTTCTGCCTTGCATTATAGAACAGGCTATGAACGTAAGCGCACAACAACGAAATTAATTATAGGTTACGAAGATACCTCTTCCAAAGACTTGGACGCCTAGCACAAGGCGTTCATCCTCTTCAGCTGTCCAATCATTTTCAGAAAAAGTACATTTGTCCAGCACATTACACCACCTAAATGCGACCTGTATTTTGGTTTTTTGGTTGATAGAAAAAACACTTCTCCAACTGGAACGTTCCCCTAACATTTCCATCTGATCGTCCCACTACAGCTTTTTTTCTTTTCTTTTTTTTTTTTTTTTGCTATCTTCGCCCAGTCTTTAGCACCAAAACGAGCGACAGCTGCCATAAGCAACTGGAAAAATAAAAATGATAGAAATCAAGAGAAAGTCCGTTAGGAGAATCCTGCGGAGATCTGTAAAGTAGATGTGAGATCCAATTCTGAGCTGTAATGGAAATCCCCTTACAGCAACATGCCCAGATCGATTAGGTGGGGTGAGAGCGGAGCAGGCCTTCAACGAAGACTCTCCTCCCCCCCTCGAAATTAAGAGGGAATTGGGCGCTCAGGCGAGACCTGTCCGAACTAGTTTGCTCTACCGGCACTGCAATAGCATATGCACCAATACAAACAGTAATACAATAATATTAGGTTGGTGCAAAAGTCTTGAGACACAAATTTACATGGATCGTCATGTCTCTACAAGAATCTTTGCCACCGTCATGATTTCACCATATTCTAGAACAATCTCAGAGTTACCGCTAGCAGTATTTAAATGGGTCCCCGTGCCCTTTTGGTATAAACCATGTCGTAATTGTCAAGAAGTTAACTTCGAGCAATCGTCTTCTACGAATGGC